GGGAGGGTCAGTTTGGGTCTGAAGGGATTAGGCAAAGAGGGGAACTGGGTCCAAAAGACAGGGGGCAAGGAAAGGGTGCAGGCTCGTTAGGGATATTGTCTCCAGTACATCACTGGCACCTCCCAGTGGCAATCTAAAGATTAAAACCTCTCCTGAACAGTTCTGCTGCACCCTCCCCCGCCCCACCCCAGTCTTCATAAGAAGCAGAGAGCAGTTGTGGCACCTGAGTGATGCTGTGGGAGCTCTCTGCACATGCTCAGAAGGCTCTTTCTTTACTTGAAAAGAGGAGCTTAAGCTTGGCAAGCATCCAATGCCGTCACACTGAGTTCAGGTGGATGCCAGACCAAAACGGAGCTGAGGAGTGCCTTAAGCCAAGGACTGGCAGGGCAAGGGGTCAGATCACCCTCCATCCAAGGCAGGCGCTGTGGTGTGTGACATTAAAGCTTTGGCACCCCACAGCTGCTTGCCCTAGGGCATCTCTGCCGCACCTGCTGGAGTGCCAGCTGAGACAGAGGAGAGGACCTTGGTTGGGAGGGGATGCCGGGTTTCCCCACCGAGGAGCACTGAGCTTTTGAGAGTGCTGGCCGGACGGACGGCTGGCCGGTCTCTGAGGGTCCCCTCTGTCTGTGCTGAACTGCAGTCCGCCAAGGCTCGCCTGCCCACTGCTCCTCTTCCCTTCCACGCTTGGGGCAGCGTCCCCCTCTGGCTGGGCTGGGCTGGGCAGACAGAATGGCACATGGCTCTAGATGACCTGCCAGTCCGGGAGGTGGTCCAGAGCCGTGTGTCCTCCTGTCTGAGGCCAGGCTCCTCTGCAGTCACCTGGGCACAGGCATGGAGTTTTACAAGGGCCCTTTCAAAGCGCTCCACAGCCTTGTGGTTGGCAAGGTGGACTGAGTCACCAGAGGCTCCTTTGGGAGGTAGGAAATGGAGAGGGTCTGGACTGCTGATGATGGGGGTGCCCTTCATGCACCAGGAACTCAAATTGGGGGCTCGGAAGAGGCTCCAAGTGGCCACACCTTGCAGTTGTACATTTTTTCCCTCATTAAATCTCAGATAAATAGGTCACCCTTAAGTCGAGCCCCATTCCTGTGAAGACAGAGATGCATCCGAGCGGTTTTCTTGGCAGCAGTTTGGAAAGAGTTTGCTCTTGCTCTCTTCCATCATGGTTCTGAGGCTCCTGGTCCTTGGATTTGCCGCTGAGCCCCCACTGAAGCACCAACTGGACCAGCCCTGCTGAAGTTCCAAGCCCAGGCCTCTGCTGAGACGTCTTGCTGTAAATAGGTGGGCAGGTTGAAGGGTAGACTGGGGTGAGCGAGTGCCGTTTGGGTCCAGGAGCCCGTGAATCCAGCATGTTGCCGGAAGGGCCCCCCGGTTGACCCCCCAAAGGAAATCTCCTGCAGGGGGTGCGGCTGAGCAGCCCCAGGCCCGCCCGCGCCTCCCCTGAGCCCTCCGCAACTCGCTCCTCCTGCTTCGCTTGTGCCGCCACTTCCTGGCAGGGCCGGTGCTGTTGCGCTGGGACCGCAGAAGGCTTGTTTCTCTTTCTCTACTGATTCCTCAGCTCTGTTCTCGGAGTCCTGAAAGCAAGCAGCAGGGTTCACCGGGGAGAATGCGCAAATCGCCAGCAGGGAAGCAGTGGGGAACAGAAAGATGTCTCTGAGAGTCCACTTGGGTGCCCTGGTACTCCTCCTGTTCTGCACGTGTAAGTGCCGCTTTACCCCTGCGAGGACTGTGGCCCCATCAGGATCCCCAAGCTGCCCTGCTGGCTTCAGGGAGCTCTGCTTGATCCACCAGTCCCTTAGCTTCTGGCCCTGGCCAGAACTGGCAACTGCCCCTCCCGAGCCCTTAGGCCTGACCCCTACCGCGAATGGCTGTGTCTTTACTTCCAGGCCTCGGTGACCAGATCTTCTGGCACAGACTTCCAGCAGTTAATTGGCCACATGCTGGGTGAAGGAGAGCTTAATCTAAAAATTACAGATGGTTTCCCCATAAAACTTTATTCCACCCAACTGTTGTTCTTCAGCCCAGCTGGTCAATCATTTTCTCCCCCTCCCACTGATAAACTCAGGGGATGCTTCAGGCAGAGTCCAAGGGCCTGATGTAAGGAGGGTGTCTCTGTGACTGAGAAGTCAGGGGAGGGTCTGCTGTGTGCTAGAAGGCTGGATGGAGGAGAGGACCAGGTTTGTCTTCTGTGGCAGAAAGTGATCAGGGTTGAAATGCACGAGTAGGTGAGATTCTCTTTCCAGCTGAAGCAGGGTCCCTTTCCTCAGAACAGCCCTGATGTCACATTGAACAGACCAAGGGATTTTCTAGACAGGGAAGCAACTTCTGAGTCCCACTGAAGAGGACAGGACTCCCAGTATGAATGAGTCGAATGAAAACACGGGATGTTCTCTATCTGTGTTGTGTAGTTCAGCCAGGGAAACTGGGTCTCCTCTTCAGAAGAAGGTCCACCGATCCTCTGTTAAACAAGGCTGACCTACTTTGGCTTAGGAGCCATCTGGCCTTGCAAAGGAAGCTTCAGGTTGCAGTCTTCTGGAAGGTTATGTGATGTAAACATGAGAGGCCTTGTGATCACTCATCTTCAGTCTTCTGCGCAGGGACAAGCATGATCAGCACCTGCATGCTTTTCTTTGCCTTGCCTTTTTCTGGGTACGGCTGCAGCGGGGACCACGAGGAGCTGTGCGATTCCTCCAGAGAGCTTTTGAGAGTATTTGCCACAAGTCAGGTCTCCCATTCCAGGGCTGATTGGATGGAAAGGCCGCTATGTTTCAGGGGCTGTGGAGAGAGCAATCTGGGCTTGGCTCAGGCTCCATAAAAGGAATGGGTTTTAAGGTGCTGAAGGGAGCAGCTTTGCCCTCGACACAAGGAAGGTTACGCGCTGGCGAGAAAGTCTTCACCTAATTTTTTCTTTTTCTTTTCACAGCCAGCTCTGTCAGGGGAGAGGCTGAAGGTAAGGAAGAAAGGCGCTTTTAGGGCTTTGGGTTTTTGCTGGAGGCAGTCAGAACGGGAGCCTTTGTTCAGGCAGCCATCAGGAATTGACCCTGACATGTTTGCACCAAACCAACCGCGGTGCTTTACCTGTGTTGGGTCTCATGTGACTGTTGGCTGAGAAGAGGAGGCATCTTTGCCACCAGGGCTAGGAAAATGGGAGATTCCAGTTGGGCCCTGCTTCTGATCCAGATCCCCTAGGTGACGGGGGGTGGATTTTCCCTTCTTCTGAATGGAAACAGGCACTGCTGGAGCACGGCATAGCCATTATGTCCCATGTCTCCGCATCTGGAGGGGCGAGGGCTAATGGCGATCTAGGAAAGCACCGTGCAGCAACAATGGCGACCATCTGTTCAAAGGTCACCCACTTTATAGTTTAAAACTGAGAGCCACTGAGGCCTGTAGCAAAGCAGACATGCTTCCTGTAAGCATGCCCTCTCCCCGAACTTGCACGTGGGGCAAAGAAATCAACTGCAAAGCTTCCCCCTGGCTGGGAAGGAGAGAGAGAGGCACCCCCTTCCATGGGGGGGATGAGGCTGTGCGGCCCTTCCATGTAGTTCCCCCAGGCTCACTTGGCAAAAAGGCAGCCACGGCTGCTGTCCTGGGTAAGCTCCTGCTGGATTAACCGCCAGTCTTTGCCCCAAGAGCTTCAATGCAGGAACAAACAGCTGGTTCTCCTCTCACTCACCACAGAAATCAGTGTGGAAATCTCTTCGAAGGATGTGGTTCTCAGCTGCCCAGGAGAGAAATCTCAGTGGGAGAAGAGGAAAGGGGACACTGTTCGCCCCCAGGAAGAGGGGAGGTCTCTGATCATCTCCACCCCAGAGGAACTCGATGAGATTGCAGAGGGGAAAGAGTTCGTCTGTAAACGAAATAGTCAGAGCCGCATATCCCAGAAGATTTATCTGAAGATCAAAGGTCAGTCGTGGCTACTGTGTGATGGGCGGTCTCTGCCCTGGACAGGTGCTGGGGTGTTGCTCTGTGGTCTGGGCTGCCCGTTGTGGACGGCCCAAGCTGCGCCTCTAGTCACTGGCGGCCCGAGGAGAGAAGAGCCCTCCCCAGGGGCTGAGGGACCTCCTCCGAAGCCAGCCTGCCAGACCTTCCTGCTTCTTGGTTCCTCTGCAGTGTGCAAGGACTGTGTGGAGCTGAGCATTGGCCTTGGGGCCGGCATCATCATCGCCGACCTCCTCCTCACCCTGGGGGTCCTGCTTCTGGTCTACTTCTGCTGCAAGACGCAGCGCCCCTCCCTTGGAGCCAGCCTTGCTGGGGGAGGCACCCCGGGACGGCAGCAAGGTGAGGGCTGGAGTCCCAGGCCGAGGGGGGGGTCTGGGGCGGCCACCTTGTGTGCCAGGGTGGGCGGCTCTCTCTTGGCCCCCCCCCGCTGCAGGCCAGATGCTGGGCTTTGCAGTTTGGAGGGGCCTGTGGGGCAAGTGGGTGGGCTGTCCTCCGTTAAGTCCTGTGGGGCTCTCCCCGCTCCCACGGTGGAAGAGGAGGCTGAGAGCCCCAGCCAGGACAGATGATTCTGCAAGGCTAGGAGGTCAAAGCAGGAGGAGACAACACGGCATCTGGGGTGGGGGATCAGTCCACGAAGAAGCGAAGTGCTGAGTTCCTTCTTTTGAAGACAAAGGATCTCGTCTCACGGTTGCTGTTCTGTGATAACCTCCTCAGCATCTGAGCAGAGGTAACAAACATTGCCCTCTGCTTTTTGCTCCAGGCCAGCAAGCAGACTGCCCCCCGCCTGTTCCAAATCCAGATTATGAGGTAAGCCCAGGACTGGAACATGGGGGGTGCAGGGAGAGTTTAACCTGGGCAGCATCTCGGGAGAGGAGACAGGGCCGGGCACAGCAGTGGCCAGGACCCGCTGCTGCCTGTGAGTCATTTGCTGTGCGAAGACCCATTTCTGGGGCAGAACCCAGAGTGAGGCCCTGGCCTGGGAGTTCTCTGAAGCGCAAAGCTGCATAGTGCTAAGAGGGTAGCATGGCACACTTCAAAGCTGAGCACCTGAGGGGAAAAGGAAAAGGCCAGTGCGGTTTTGCGGACCATTAGCCCTGGTTTTTGCTTTTAGTTCAGCTTTCTCTCCAGGTTGCAGCTGTTTCCTCTCTCCTGGAAATGGGGTGTGCATCTGGGTCTGTGCATTCGTCCTTTCTTGCCCAGAGATCCTTAGTGAGAGGCAAGGTCAGGCACACCTCTTCTTCTGGGGAGCCTTTGGCCTTCGCCCATTTTGAAGCCAAGATCCAGATTTAGTCAATTTCGTCATCCTTTAGTCACTTTCACAAGGGGAATACAGAATTCCCCAGAACACTTTTTCCCTACTTTGGTAAGTGGCTGGATGGAGCAAAAATTCAGTTGGGAGATTTAGTTCAAAGGTGATTTGAATTAATCTCTGAATCAATTTGACTTTCTGAATTGGATTGATTTTTAACATCTTTCAAATTGGAAGTTACAACGTAACAATTTTTTTCCAATAATTTAAAAAATGTAATTGATTCAGACTGTCAGATCAAAGTGATTTGATCCACACACCCCACAGCTCTTCTTTGATTGTGATCCCAGAAATAAAAAGGACAGTAACATGGCTTTAAAATCCATTGTATAAGGAAGCCAGTTTCCTGATACTTATAAAAACAATGGCGAAAAAATCAAAGGCTTTTGAGAGAAGAGCATCAGAGCCAAGAGTCTGCATTGTATATTTCTGAATGAGACACTCATTGTGCTAATGCCCATCTAACACCCCCCACCTGATGTCCTGCCCACTTCCCAGAAAGTAAGACCAAGTTTGCCAAAAATATGGCGTGTTTTGTTCCTACAGCCGATCCGGAAGGGCCAACGTGAGGTGTATGCCGGCCTGGAGCCACGGGCTTTCTGAGGTGCTGCCTCATGTGCTGTGCTGTGGTGAGACACCATACATTCCAGCTAGCAGCGAGAGTCCCCAGATGGGCCTGCCGCTGCCTGTTTGCACTAACTGCTGTCCCTCCTGGTGGGGGGAGGCCCCCATTTGTGCTGAGTGTTGCAGCTAGAAAAGTGGTCCTTGTGTGGCCCGGAGAGCCCCAGATGGAGCAGGGACAGCTGCCGTTTGCAGAGGTTGGCCCCAGGATGAAAAAAGGCCTGCTTTCCCACTTGTTTTGATTGTGCTTGCAAAGAATCCTAATAAACTGTGGTCCAGCCTGTTCCACCGACAGACTCGAGTGTGTTTCTTCTCTGATACGTTTATTATCCAAGAGACTCAAGAAAAGCCTCGGGGGGACCCTGGGGAAGGAGCTGGCAGAGAGAAGACAGGAGATGCAGGAGTAAGCAGCCACAGGCATCAGGACCAGACCGTCTGTGCCTCCTCACCCACCAGGAGCACCCCAGGCAGGAGGAATAGACAAAACCAAGGTGGTGGGAGAGGGGTAAGGTCAGGTAGGCAACGCCGTAGCCCTAAGATTGGCACCAGGCCAGGCACAGCCAGAGGACTCCCTGTCCCTTCCTGTTCTGTTGAGAACCAGACAAACGAACCCACTGTTTGCGGCAGCTTCACTAAGACTTCAGGTGCAGGAGGCCAATCAGCACAAAACCTGGCAGTTGCGGTGGGGAGGAAGAGCGGTGGCCCCACGTAGGAACATTCACCCCCCAGTGGATGTGCTTGTTCCACAGGATGTGGTCAAAAGCGAACGCAGCTGTATTTCAAGGAAGGCATAAACCACCCCCAGTGGAGGTGCTGCCCTATGAATCAACACCCCGGGTAGCTACGTGCTTGTGCAAATGGCTGACTACCCGGAATTTGCACTCATACTTCACTGCTACCCTTCAGTTCAAACATCCACCACATCAGAGAGGAAGTTTTACAGCAACAACTTTTATTAGGGGAGGCATAGAAGGCACAGGGGACCAGTGCAAAGAACCCAATTTTAGCCGCAAAGAGGAAAATGGAAGATTAACCGGCCCGTTTGCTTTGCTAAGAAAAGACATTCCTGAGGATTCTGTTTGTCGCCACGTTCCCAGCGTGGCACCCCAGAGTGGGTTTGTTAAACAAGCTTAAAGGAGGCCTCTCCCACCCCAGCCAGCCCGCAGCTCTTTAGTTCGGCAAACAGAAAACGATTATAGTCATGTCTTCTCTGGCTCTACCAGTACTTGAGGCACTGGACCAGAAGCGATACAAGGAAGAGGTAGCACTTCACGAAATGAGGGCCCCACAGATCTCCATCTCAACAGACGTCTTGCCACCAAGTAAGTAACAGTTGGTGATTAAGTCTAAGGAAGGGGAACCTGGAATGGATTCATCGGTGGCGAGGCTTGGCAGCTCCAATGTGGCTGTATGGCCCGTAGTTGTGCTCCCTGAGAGGCTGGAAGGAAGAATATCTACATTTAGGGCCAGTGCAGGCAGTGCACACACTCACCTGCCTTGGTAGCTAAGAGGAGGAGAAGGCGGCTCTGGGGACACTTAGCCCTGGTCGAGCAGAGAGACACTGCTTTGCTGTTCCCCCACATGGCTCCTCCACTGAACAACTTTGGAGGTGCCATTCAGCTGCACAGCCTGCTTCATTTGGCGTTGCTGCCCCTTCTCCCTTTTGGTGGGGAGAGCAGACCCCACCACTGCCAGCATGTCCCATGCCCGTGTTTGCTGGAAGGAAAGTCGGTGCAATGGCCACTGGGGTGGCCAACTGTACCCCTGAAAGTACATTGCACTCTTACACAGGGTTAGTTCACCACGGATTCCTTAACATCACTGTCATCACACCAAGCTGGATCCTAAAGTAACATCCAGAGAGAGTTTGCACAGCGGGCAAAGCCAACGTGTGACTGGAGCTTGTGGTTCAGGACGTTGTGCAACTGCAGCTTAACAGGGTTGGGACAGAACAGGCTTTTGCAGTCTGCTGTCCATGGGGCACCCTTCCCTTCCAGGGGACCCTCTGTGGGGCTGGGATTCTGGAGGTGACTGACAGGTTTGCTAACTCCTTTTCCAAAGCCATCCCAGTCAGCTGGTATTAGGGCAGCCAGTTTCACTCTACAGCAACAATCACTGGGCACAGGTGTGCTCATACTTGGATCCAACCCTGCCCCATCTCTACTTTGCCAGGACAGACAGGTGGCCTAATATTCGTACAATATTGGGGGCTCGTCTTCTAGTGGGTCTCCCACTTTTTGCGGGATGAACTGGCCAGTCTCTGACCTGACAATCAGACCCAGCAGCACCCAAAAACCATTGGGAAGCTCTTCTGCTCCTCCCCCTGGGCTCAAAGTGGCCACTCTGGAGCAAGGGCATGACCAGGAACAATTTTTACTGGGAAACAGCTAAACTACTACTGATGAGGACTTTTATTTCTCAAGCATTTAACAGGAAAACTGCTCAGAAATGTGTGTCACATCCAGCAACTGTTTTGTTAATGCCAATGATTGCTGATTCTACACTCTGTTTCTTCCTAAGTTCTCCTTTAACTCTTCTTCAACACAGGTGCATCTAAAATATCCTCTTTGAAGACAACAACTCCTGCACTTGAAGTACAGCAGAAGACACAATCCAGCTCCCCTTTGAGCAGAGAGTACAGAAAGGAAAAGGCAAGAGGAAGTGGAAGCTCTCACCTGGTACAGCTGGTCGTTGGCCAACAGGCTTTGCTTATCAGAAGCTGCAGGGTCAAAACAGGAAGACTTAGTTCACGGGGAATGAAACAAGAGCCAAAGAGAGCAGAAAATGGGCTGGACCTCTGAGGCCAGGCAAGAAACAAGGGATGGCCATCTGGGCTGTAAGCAAGACGGCCCTTTCTTCTGGAGAATATGACCACTGTGGCCCTCTCAGGGAAGCCTCCCAGCACATGGCTGCCCTTTGCTGCCACTTCTCACCTTGGGATGGCCGGCCCCGCTCTTCCACAGCCATGTGGTACACAGCAACAGCCAGGAAGACGGTGGCAAGGAGGCTTGCCACAGAAATCGCCAGAATCGTGGTGTAGTCCAGACGGATGCAATTCTGGCACACTGTAGTAAAGGAGAATGTTGAACATGCATTCTGCACTCCCCAACATATACACGTGGAGTCCACACACGCTTGAACAGGACATGCGTCCTTTTATTGCAGAACAGCAATAAGCAGCTCTGAGCCACCAGAAACCAGGGGAACCCATTTCTGGGTCACTGGATGCTGTTACTAGGCAAAGATGACTCTTCCACAGAAAGGGAGGCCCAGCTGCAGCCCCCGATCTGCCCAACCCAGGGACTGCCCCAGGCCTTTACAAGGATTGGCAGAAAGACTACCCATGTCCCTAGGAAAGAGCAGGCTGGTAGGAGAGACCCAGAAACGCTAATCTGCTTTTCCTCAAAACATGAGCAGAGCAGAGCATTTGATATCCAGAAATATTTAACATTTCAGCCTATGGACACTGAATGTAAATCAGAGAGGTGGTTTGGCTGACAGCTTACCTTAAGAAAAATCCCCATCTGGACAAGCAACAGCTTGAGTAAAATGTTTGGTTCCATAGGAAGAACACTAACTTCATTTAAACAGCTAAGGTACAAACTCTTAGAGATATCACCAAACAAACAATGCTCCTTTTGAAGTAAGGAGGCAACCTGTGGCCAATTTGCCAGGCTGAGGATCTATTGCCTGGATCCTTTTTTCTGTGTTGTCTGTCAAGCTGTCCCCATCCTGTCTTGTCTTGCTCAAGACCACATGTGGAACAGGGAAGGGAGGCCCCCATGTCAGAGGCTAAGATGTTTCTTTCACCTGGACATGTCATAGCTTCACAGAGGCCAAGATCAGCTTGTTTCAGAAAAACCCCAGTGTCTGCCTGGCTGAAACAGTATGGCCGGCAATGCTGTTAGATAAAGGGGAGAGAGAAGGCTTACGTACTGCGGAAGAAAACTTGCAGAGATCTGTTTTTCTTATTGTTGTTTTCACACTCAAAGAAGCCTCTCGGGTCATCCATCACAGAACCCAAAGACAACTCCTTTCCTCGGTGGCTTAGAGGCATCCCGCCTTTTGTCCAGTGTGTCTTGTTATTGCCCCCTTCACATATTAGGAAAATGGTGTTTCCTTTCTGCTTTATGGTGATGAATTCTGCAAAACAAATAGGGTGGGGTGGGGTAGAGATCCCACGGGCAAAGCCTCATCAGTACCTCCAGGGTTTCAGGGGCCAAATAAATTATGTAACAAAACATATGGCCATTCAGGCTTTTTAGGCAACTGGTATTTCTTCTGTAAAAGCATAATGGCTTAATTATTGGTTAAAGATAACCAGCCCTTGTGCTTATTCCTAGTCCTGGGCCAATGGGAGCTGCTCAGCAAGGGCTCTTTTTGCATTTTGGTCCTGGAGGGGTCTGCTTCTGCCTTCTCTGTCCAGCTCCCAGGCATTAGCACACCAGAGGACTGGCTTGGGCAGTGGGGGGCTGGCCAGGTTGCCAGCTGAAAGTCTGCCAGGCCTCTGCAAGAGCCAGGAAACTGCTGCGAGCCCCTGGGGTTGAAGCCTTTGCTACTGCTTCCCTCCTGCACTGCCTGTCCTCCCTTGTTTGTCTCAGGGCACCTGCCTTCCTTCTGCAATGTGTTTGCTTAGCAGATAGTCCTAGCGAAGCCACTGAGGCTTCCATCCAAGCCTATCTTGGCAGCCGTGATGTGTTTAAGGCCCTTTGTGTTCCCACCCAGGAAGGACTCTTGGTGAGATCTCTAACCAGCCAGGAAAACCCCTTTCTTTCCAAATATTCTCTTCCAAACAAGCTGTTTCCAAACATTCAGGATCTTGAAAGTTCCAAAGCAAATCCCAAATAAAAGAGAGCCAAAATTCAAGCACACCAAGTCACTGGCTGGGCTTGTGCATCATAATGAGACTTAATGATTGACATCTTCATGCATTGTGCAAACCCAGACAATTATGGTATACAGTAAAGCATACCCACACAAACTATGGCTGAACCCAGACACAACTCTACCCTATTTTAGCTCTTTCCAAGCTGCCTCCATGGTTTTCCTTCTTTTAGGAAACCTGGATAAACCGTACCGTTTTCAGACGCTGCATTTCCACTTATGCTGATGCCTGGAAGAAAATAATTTAATGCTGAGAAACATGGAGCAAAACAAACATCCTGGGATCAAGAAAAGCCAATAGTATCACACCCTAAGCCTCTACCCAGTTGTCCAAGCAACACCAAACAGTTGAACGTCTACTGTGGGGAAGCAGTGAAAAGGGCAAACTCCACCCTACATGGCACCAAGAAAGGAATGAAAAGAAGGTGGCAAACTCTAATGGAAGATTGATCATCCCTCTTCCAAAAGGGTGATGTTGGCTTGAGAAAGGGAACATTTTTGTGTCTTCTTAATTTCAAAAAGAGGAAGCTAAGGAGAAACATTATCGAGGTGTTTAATATTAGGCAAAGTCTGGGGAAAGTGGGCAGAGAGAAGTTTTTCTCTCTCAAAATGCTAGAAATTCAAAACAAGCACACAAAAATAGTTCTTGATATACCATGTGGCCATGGCCACTAGCAGATACAGGACCCCCTCAGAGAGTGGAAGGGGAGGCATCTCCTGATAGCTTTTGGTCCTGGGAATCTGGCAGACCACCCAAAGGCAACGTCCCCATTACTGCCTCTGAATGGGCTGCCCTCCTCAGAGGGCTGCATTCACCTTTGCATTCAGTCACTTCCTCCAAGAGCTAGCGGCATAAATGTCCCATTCCTCATTTATCAGGTTGGTGAGACAGAGTGAAGGTGGCTGCACATGGTCAACCTGGGTGTCTCCAGTGCCAGGTCAGGTGTGGGGCATGAGGTGGGCCTGCTGCTTTCAGAATGAGGCATGACACGGTTGTGGGGTGAGCAAGTGTTCCGAATCAGAAGCACGGCCGGGTGCAAACCCAGAGAGAAATCCCTGAGCAACACATGACAGTGAACTAGCCGTCTGGCCCTCATGCCCTCCCACCAAGAATGCCAGTCTCCCTTTTTTTTCTTGCCAACCTGCCCACCCTCACCCCCCACTATCAGCCCTGAGGCCACAAGTCACCACTCTCTCACTACTGGCCTTGGATTTAAGTCCTACCTTGGAAGAACAGGGCAACGAGAGTGGCACACAGCAGCTGTTTCTGCCCTCCCATGCTTGTGGATGGGGGAGCCAGATATGTCGTCCCCCGCTCGTGGGCACAGGCAGCAGGTGGCTGTCTCCTGCCAGGTGAAAGGATGACTGGGCAGGAAGATGCAGGGAAGTTTCTTGCAGTCGGTCTGCAACAGGAAGTCTGTGGGTGGGGGCTTTTCTGCCCCGCCTGTGTGCATTCACACACAAGGGAACGAAAGGATGCAAGAGATGCCGCAGAGAAACCGCTCTGCTGAGAAAATGAAGCTGACTTCCTTGCCCCTTGAATGGCAAACACAGCACCTGATCCTCTGCTGCTGCGGCACTCCGCTAAGGCACCCCCACAAATGAGCCCCGGCAGGGGGCCCTGCTGTTGGACAGCCATCAGGCACGTTGTCCCTTTTGGCCCACGCCTGCAGAGAACTGCTTGGCGACCCAACCCGAACCAGCGGCTCGGCTCGGTTCGGCGCAGGGCCCTCGGTCAGCCCACAACCTTTGGTCTAGAGCAGTGTTTCTCAACCTTGGCCACTTTACTATGTGGGGACTTCAACCCCCAGAATTCCCCAGCCAGTATTCCTCATGCTGGCTGGGGAATTCTGGGACTTGAAGTGCACTCATCTCAGAGCCGCCAGGGTTGAGAAACACTGCTC